AGCTTGGGAATTGGGAAGCTTGGGAATTGGGGAGCTCGGGAATTGGAAAGCATGGGAATTTGGAACCTTGAAGCTAAGCCAGGATTTCTTTTCATTCTCTGTTAAACAGATCCATGCGGGTTAGCGATATCGGTTGGCCCATCTTGTACACCGCCAGCGATAAAACCGCAGCCACAAGGGGCAAATTCTTAGACAGGTTTACACTTTCCAGATCCACCCTCGGAAAATTTCAGGTCCGTTGTGACACACATTCGGCCAGTTTCACCGCGAGCATACAAAAACAAATCAATATCAGCTGGCGAAGTTTGCGTCCCGTTTCGCCCGCGGATACTTATATTTCCCCTTTGTGCACGCTGTTGCTGCGAGATTATTTTTCCGTGACGATTCCACTAGCTAGAAGGGAATTATTTCTTCTGGCTGTTCCACGGAGATGCTTGCTCCTTCTGTTTGTTTTTCCCTGAAAACGATCCCCTTTCTTCGAGCTAGCTCTTTATCGCCGCCCTCGTTACTCTATTTTTTATCTGTCGTTACCCTGTCTGTGCGTCATCCTGACGTCTCTCTCGTTTTCTCAATAACCTTCTTTCTCCTATTATTCCGCGCATCGATGAATCCGTCAAATACTTACTGTCCCTCCAAGAGCTCATTAGCCTGACCGATCATCGATTAACTCCTTGTAAAAGGTAACGAGGATGATCAAGATGAACCTTGCAGATACTCGTTATATTGCCGCAGACATTTCATGTTACATGGACATGAATTTGTTACTTTGTCACAAATGAAATTCGTCATATGTTGGATTCATCACAGGTGCAGCAAGAAAGGAGTAAGCATGTGAGCAGTTCACATGTCAGACTCTTTGCATATTCGATCATATGTGGACATATGTTAAATACGTCTAGTTTGTCACAAATGAGGTTCGTCACATGTTACATTCATCACAAGTGAAGTACAGCAAGAAAGGAGTAAGCATGTGAGCAGTTCACATGTCAGACTCTTTGCATATTCGATCATATGTGGACATATGTTAAATTCGTCTAGTTTGTCATAAATGAGATTCGTCACAAGTTACATTCATCATAACTGATGAAGTACAGCAAGAAAGGAGTAAGCATGTGATCAGTTCACATGTCAGACTCTTTGCATATTCGATCATATGTGGACATATGTTAAACTCGTATATTTTGTCACAAATGAGGTTCATCACATGTTACATTCATCACAAGTGATGAAGTATAGCAACAAAGGAGTAAGCATGTGATCAGTTCACATGTGAGACTCTTTGCATATTCGATCATATGTGGACATATGTTAAATACGTCTAGTTTGTCACAAATGAGATTCGTCACATGTTACATTCATCACAAGTGAAGTACAGCAAGAAAAGTAACAGCATCAGTTCACATGTTCAGTCCGCAGCGTTAGATCCATGCGTTCGTCCTCGTTGAATCTCGATCCTCCACACGTAACACCGTTGTATCGACGCGTGAAATCGCGACAGTACTTACGTAGGACTTACGTCGAAGATTCGAGGACATCGGGAGCAGGGTATCTGGAATAATGAGACCGGGAGTGGAAGTGGACTATTGATTCGCTATCGTGAAGCAAACGGACCAACGAGAAGGATTCTTGCTAAACCAACGTCGCCTCGAAGATTAACCGCGTAATGGCGATTCTAACCGTATTACAGGAAGACTGGTCGCCGTCCGCGATTCCCCGGGAGTCTTTAATATCAATTGAGAATTTAAATTGAAATAACCGTGACCAAGTCTAACCGCGTTTATACGGATATCGATCGGCTAATCCGGAAACTTTGCCCTCGTCGAGGGTCGATCGAAAGCTACGAATCGTTGGCTATCCTCCAATTAGTGAGCGCGGAATTACGTTTTCGGATCGTTCACGCATTTGTTATTTCGAGAGGATGTTCCATCCATCAC